TTAAATTACAGAAATGTGTTTACATTCTGCACCCCATACCTGAACAACTTTTGGTAATAATAATTTTTTTTGAAAAAAAATACATCGCATATAATCTCTTATTTTCTTAAGATTTATTTTAAAGCATGCATATAGTTTATCTTTGTCAAGTTGGGTTTGGAGGTTTGACAGGACCATAATGCAGACACAAAAGCTTGAGGTGGTTACTGGAAGGTTTAATACCAAAAAAGGGTAACAGAAGCAAAAATCCAAAAACATAAATCCACTAAAAAACTGAAGCCCAGGAATACTCACAACAAGGGGGCAAAGAAATGACGACAAACCAGCAAAGAGTGACTGAACAGGAGGAGAATAAACGGTAGAGAGAAACAAAGACCAGGCTAATTAGCAGATTGGGGGCAGGTGTGAACAGAGGAGGCGAGAAGGGAGCTAGGGAAAAGGAGACTGACACAAAACGGCAAAAAAGAAATATCTAAGAACTAAAATACAATCAAAAATAATAACAAGAACACAAGAATTGAAATAAGACCAATGAAAACTCAGAGATAAAACTTGAACAGAACCCAAACCATGACCAATCTTAACTTTTCATAATTACGTTGTACATTAATATGCACTATATAATTAAAACTTCCTATATCTTTGCAGAAATAATTTTAGTTTCGCTTTTACTGCTTTTAAATTATTTAAATGTCAACGTTTGAAGCATCTTTAAAGTGTACATTGGCATAGATTTGGCGGTGGTTCACCATTTCTCACCATTCTCCAGACTGGGCGCAGACTGTCCGTGCAAAGACATCGCAGAAAACCACAGGAAGTGGAGCAGCAGCAGCAGCACCGTCCTCGGTTTGCTGCTTTCCATTTTTCACAACAACATGGAGCACAATCCGAACACTTTATGCGACGGTTCTGTTGCTCATTGTCCTTTTTATCCGATCTGATGCATTAGGGTCATATAAGCCCTTCCCAGCGCTTCTCAGTGATCTCTCCAGAGAGCGCGAGAGGCGAAAACATGAAACATCTGGATACAGGCAGGACGTCACTGCTCTGAAGTCTCACTCTCTTTCTTAATCCCCCCAAGGGGCCTCTGCTTTACTATTTGCAGTAAACTGAAACACATTAACAACTTTTTTTGTGCATACCGGTATGTTCAAATGCAACCTAGGAAGAGGATGGGAATGCAGGCATCAGGTTAAAAGTTCAGGTGCTCAGTCTGTGGGAGGTCACCAAATGCTTTTCTCTCTGTGCCTTTTCTGAAACGAACATATATATTTGCAGGCTACATTTATTTTCTCCTCTTTTTTTTTTCTTTGTTTCCCCCTTTTTTATTTTTGCTAGAAAAAAATCAAACAAACAAAAAAACCCAAACAACTCCAGTCTTCACTATGCTCTTGTTCTGGAAGTCAGCTAAAACCTGGTGTGGACCCTGGAGGGGGAGTTATGCTGAAGCTTTGGCTAATATGTACACATGGAGAGAAAAGACAGAGGGCGGGGATAAATACAGCCTTGGTTACTTTTGGAAAAAGTCCCTGAGTTCATCTCACTGTGCCATAAAACCACTCTCTTCTGTCTCCACAAGAATTCCCACAGATCTCCAAAAAGTCAGTTAAGTTAAAATTCGAGGATCATAACAGATAAATCTAAGACTTTCAGCACCAAAAATGTTTATTATCTACCCACATTTCTTGATTTAGCATTGTGTGAGGATAGTACTTAAAAAAACATCCAGATGTCTATACTTTAGGATTCATCAGCCTGAAGGTTCTGTCATCGTTCTGTTGTCAGACTCTTGTCCCACATCATCCACTGCAGGAGATCCATGCAGGGTGATTAAATGCGATCTAAGGTCTTCTCACTCTCATTCCACATACCAAACAAAACCTCACCTGTGACTCTGACTCATGCCTCTTTGTCTGTAATAACACAATTTAACCCCCATCCCCCAAAGGCTCTAGATGATCTATGTTTTTACTCATACATCCTTTGAAGATCTTAATGCTTTCAGGCCATGGGGGCTGATTAAGAACTTAGATTAAGAGGAGAGCACAAGAGACATTGCAGCAAGCGAGGTGACTGTAGACTGTAAAACATGCTCCTAATGCTTGGCACTGATATGGGTGACTAAAAACCAAACAGATGGCAATGGTTTTTAATTAGGATGAAAATAAAATGGGGTTAAACGCGAATACCAGTAACTATTCTCCCATTTTCATTCCTATAAAAAATAATGATGAAATTGAAGTCGCTGGTTTTTCACACAGAAGTAGAATAACTTTGAGTTTTACACATAAAATAGCATTTTACACTAAAACCTCAAGTCAGAAGGTCACATCCTTTACACGTTTGTGGTTTCCCCCAAATGCCTTGTGGCAACTTGTAAATGGAACTTCTGGCTCTCTTCCAATAATATTTTTCTTTTGGTCAGGCGCGTTCTTGGTCATCATGTTGTCGTCTTTTTCATTGACATTTTCCAGCAGTCCTCTGACATCTTCACAGAACAGCTGGATTTGTAAATACGTTTGATAAGCACACACAAACATATATATATATAGTATTCCAGTATTGCTAATCACTTTAATGTTTGTCAAATTAGATGAGTTAGATTTGTGTTTTAATGTGGCAGAATGGGAATAGGTTCAAGGGGTCAATCATTTGTCTTATCTTCTGGCAACAACTCTGCTGACATCCAGTGGTCACGTCCAGCTATAGTATATTAACATTTCTTTTCAGTCATATGATGAAACAACCAACCACTTTAGATACCCAGTATCAAAACAACAACACAAACAGGTCAGTGTTCAACATTTCCTCCTCTTTGGTAATTTTAAAGGTTCTATATCATGCTATTTTTACTTTCAAAAATAACAATTGACATTGCCCCTAAGAGTTATTAATTTAATATTAAACAGGAGCTCTCCTTTGGTGCTTTTTCTTATCACTTCTTGCTTATAAGGCTCATTTTTAGTAAGGCTGAATAAAATCTGAGATCTCTTACAGCCCAAAAAATATTTAAATATTTCCAAAAAAAAAAAAAAAAAAGAAGAAGAAGAATATACTGTCAATGTCCAGATTTGCTTATACACTATATTGCCAAAAGTATTTGCTCACCCATCCAAATTATTGGAATCAGGTGTTCCAATCACTTCCATGGCCACAGGTGTATAAATTCAAGCACCTAGGCATGCAGACTGTTTTTACAAACATTTGTGAAAGAATGGGTCGCTCTCAGGAGCTCAGTGAATTCCAGCGTGGAACTGTGATAGGATGCCACCTGTGCAACAAATCCAGTCGTGAAATTTCCTCGCTCCTAAATATTCCACAGTCAACTGTCAGCTGTATTATAAGAAAATGGAAGTGTTTGGGAACGACAGCAACTCAGCCACGAAGTGGTAGGCCACGTAAACTGACGGAGCGGGGTCAGCGGATGCTGACGCGCATAGTGCGAAGAGGTCGCCAACTTTCTGCAGAGTCAATCACTACAGACCTCCAAACTTCATGTGGCCTTCAGATTAGCTCAAGAACAGTGCGCAGAGAGCTTCATGGAATGGGTTTCCATGGTCGAGCAGCTGCATCCAAGCCATACATCACCAAGTGCAATGCAAAGCGTCGGATGCGGTGGTGTAAAGCACGCCGCCACTGGACTCTAGAGCAGTGGAGACGCGTTCTCTGGAGTGACGAATCGCGCTTCTCCATCTGGCAATCTGATGGACGGGTCTGGGTTTGGCGGTTGCCAGGAGAACGGTACTTGTCTGACTGCATTGTGCCAAGTGTAAAGTTTGGTGGAGGGGGGATTATGGTGTGGGGTTGTTTTTCAGGAGCTGGGCTTGGCCCCTTAGTTCCAGTGAAAGGAACTCTGAATGCTTCAGCATACCAAGACATTTTGGACAATTCCATGCTCCCAACTTTGTGGGAACAGTTTGGAGCTGGCCCCTTCCTCTTCCAACATGACTGTGCACCAGTGCACAAAGCAAGGTCCATAAAGACATGGATGACAGAGTCTGGTGTGGATGAACTTGACTGGCCTGCACAGAGTCCTGACCTCAACCCGATAGAACACCTTTGGGATGAATTAGAGCGGAGACTGAGAGCCAGGCCTTCTCGTCCAACATCAGTGTGCGACCTCACAAATGCGCTTCTGGAAGAATGGTCAAAAATTCCCATAAACACACTCCTAAACCTTGTGGACAGCCTTCCCAGAAGAGTTGAAGGTGTTCTAGCTGCAAAGGGTGGACCGACGTCATATTGAACCCTATGGATTAGGAACGGGATGTCACTTAAGCTCATATGTGAGTCAAGGCAGGTGAGCAAATACTTTTGGCAATATAGTGTAAAAGAAACACTTATTCTCAACTTTTAGCTTCCAAAACAGCTCGCAGATCGTAGAAAGTGAGTGTGTCTCCTCCAGGATTAGATTGGTAATCACTGTTCTACATAAAACACTGATGGTCACTTGTATTTCCCAGACAGGGAGCAGCTGCTGCTCACACAAGAAAATTCATAAGGATTACTTAGACATGCATCAAGCAAAATATAACCCTATAGAAAAAAAGTAGATTAACTGCAGCCTCTGTGTCTTTGTGTTTTTCATGCCTCTGCATGCTGTGACAAGAGTGTTAACGGGTGCAGGTTGATCTTCACAAGGTAAACAGCCGCCATTTGATAGCTAATCCCATGTCAGGCTCCATTAGTTTGTCACACAGTGCTAATTGAATAAATCCAGCAGGCAAATGCTGTGTAAAGTACTTGCTTGGACCCTTATAACAAGCTGTGACTTGAACAGTACTCTGAAATATGCATTAATGGTATGGGGAATGCTGCTCAACGAAACCAAATGAAACAATGGCACGTTAGTGCTGGATGTGTTTCTTTCCTCTAGGAGGTCAAGTGACGGTCAGATCTCCTAAAGGAACCCCTGACTTGGTCTTTGAACCTACAGTTAGGTTCTTGCCACCTCTAATCTGATCGGAGTCTTGACCAGATAAAGCCCCACCTTCAGTTTTCAGCCTCTGAGCTGGCGTTTATCCCAGGACACACAGCATAAGCTGTTGTCTGCTCTTTCATTTGTAACAGGGAGGGGAGTGGGGGCTTAGCTTGTGTGTTTGAGACAGGCGGTCTGATCTACGACGGACCATAGTTTATTCCCGAAAGCATCTTTTTATCTCTATTTTTGGTATTTACCGGATATCTGGCATTTCAGGAATCAAAGATGTTGTGTTCATCGCAAATTAGAAGAAGATGGAGGCTGACAGGAGAGCTGCAAGGGATTTGACAAGAGCAGGTCAGTCAGCTTGAGTCCCTTTAACAGTGTAGATGGAGGGTATCCAATAAGTTGGGCATGTAATGGCAAGTACCTTGACATCCGTCTCACTCTGCTTAATGGTGTGTTTTGATCTGGATGTTATTGCAGATTATTTAGATACAGTTTACTCAAATAAAATGGAATCAAAGAGGTACATTTACAAAAGACACTGGGAACCTGGGAGAAGCATTAAGATTTTAGTATTAAAAAATGATTAAATGCAAACCTTAGAATCTTCAATAATTTTCAGCAGATATTGTGATTAGTGCGTATGAATGAAAATGGAGATAAGAAAAGCTGAAAGGTCAAAATGAAATAAATAGCAAAGCCCACTTTGATGGATTTGAGTATTATACAACAAAGATGTCTTTATTTATGTTCTTTTCGTCTCACAATCTGGAGATGATTCTTAAAAATATATGTGCAGGAGTGCATTAAGAAAAGTCTTCTGACAAAAGATAACATTTGTGTTTGCAGTTTCCTTTCCTTTTACTGAACAAGAACTGGTTTCTGAGGAATGGCCCTCTCAGTGACCATTCATTCAACTCTGTTGAAAGCATTGCTGGTCCTTTTATGTCTGCGCGCAGTTGCAGGTATAAATCCACTTTGCAACTTGCAAAGATTTCCTCAAAGGTGTCAAGAGATTGCCTCTCCTGACATCATGCTTCTGTATCTTTTTTTCTCAGGCATGTCTGGCTGGTCTGAATGTTTAGAGGGTCGGAATGTATTTGTAAAAATTAAAGAAAACAGTCCCTCTGGAGATATTGTCGCTGCATTTGTGATGGAAACCGGCATGGAAGGAGTTTGGTGGAGTCTGTCTGGGAAGGATGCTCACTGGTTCTACTTAGACGGAAGAAACATCCGGCTGAACACGTCAGAGGAAAAGATCCTTGACCGAGAGGTAATGAGGATGTGTTTCCTTTAGCAATACACAGTGAAAGAAAAAACATGTCTCATTACTACAATCTAAAAAGTGACCTTAGTGATAGTCTGGCATCACAGTGAAGGAGTTTTATCAACTCTATTAAACTGATAAAGAAAAAAAAAACCTCCAACCCTGTCCTCAGATCTCACACTTCATCTTGTCAGTTTGTTCCCAGCCAGCTGCCTTCAAGTGGTCAAAGCTGAAGGTCGACCAGATTAGCTGTCTCTCTCTCGGAGCCTCAGCCTCTGCGTCTCTCACTTTATTGAAAAAATACAGGATAAATAAAAGTTGTGGCCCACAAACTATCAGTGTGAGCCTACAAGGTTTGCATGGTCACCATCTACACTAGAGACATTTTGCTTTCTTTTATGTTTAGTTGTTCAGATGCAATGTAGAAATGTCTCTCTACATCTTAAAGCATCTTACTGAAAGCTGGATTTACAGCAAATGTAAAGTATCCCGATTGTAAATATATTTAAAAGACATTTATCAAAATTAAAAATGGATCTCAAACTTGCAAAACTTATAAAGAATTATATTGAACCAAACAGCTGAATAAGAAGGTTTGTCCTTTAAAAAGAGGCTGATTTGAGTTGCTGAACTGTTTTCAAGAGCAACGCTGAAAGCAAGTACAGAATGACCTTTTCATTAGAAATAGACATGAACTGCTGGGTTTAGTCTCTTTAAAATGTGAATACAGATCGTCAACAAAAGCAGATAAAAAGTTGGGCAATAAAGTCAAAATAAAATGCAATAATAAGGTCCCCTTCTCTTTTCAATTTTTTTATTATGACTTCTACCCTTCTACCCTTGCATGTTGGTCAGCTTAACACAGTTTGTTAATAAGGGAAAGTTTTCAAGCAATATATATTTGAAGCAGAATGGTAGATGTGGTATGTTGTAAAAAAGCATGTTTATATGTTAAACTGCTTTGCACAAGATCCTTCATGGTAAAAGAAAGCTGACATTTTTTAGGCCTAAAATACACAGTTTTCAAATGTGAAAATGGTGTGCAGCAAATTTTAAAAGTCCTACGCCTTAATGTTAAGGTCATTTTTCTGCAATCAATTTGAAGTAAATTCTGTACAACCTTAAATGGAACAAATAATTTTGTAGAAGAGGTAATAGAAGGTAGAAAAGCAGGGTTTGGTAAGCATGCACAAATTCAAGCAATAGGTGTGCTGAAGCATTGTTTGATTCAACACCTGAAATCAGTCTTTTGGTAAGGAATTAGAAATAATGCCCTCAGTTTTGGCAATATTTACCCAATCAGTTCCAAAAAGTTGTTCAAATATGTCCTAGTGGGAGGTCTTACAACTTGTAACTTGCAGGAGGGATATTTGACTCTTTGTTAGAGAGTGGTTTATGTTAAATTTCATTATACACAAGGATTTCAAACTCCTTTATAAACGTTTATATGTTTATCCTCTCCTCCAGAAACTTGGTCCAATCTTAATGGCAGAGCTATCATGTTACGAGCGAGACATGTCTCAGGTACATTTCAAACTTCTTTCCCATCCTTTGTTTCTCTTTACGTCAATCCAGAGGAAATCATAAAAATGCACTTGTTTTGTTTTGTTGCAGACTTTTTACAAAATCACGGTGGAGATTCTCAATGAGAATGATAATTTACCCATGTTTTCAGAAGAAAGTGCCCGGTCAATTACTTTGAGTGAGGTAAGACATTTTAACAAATGCACTGGTACAAATTCAACCTCATATTCAAGTGTACCTCTAAGTTTATGAATCTTTTTCTGAATATCTCTATGTTTTATTCAGCTGACTCCAGTGAATACTGTGGCTTTTACCGTCCAAGCTTTGGACGCTGATAATGATAAAATCATTTATTCAATTGACCAGACATCTGTAAGTTTGACATTTAAACTCCTGAAATTAGTATATAAATGAGAAAGCAGTCATTGGTTGATCATGTTTCTGTGTCGCAGCCTGACGCCAAGTACTTCAGGATTGATCTGCCAAACAGCGGTGAAGTGATCCTTTCCAAACCTTTGGACTATGAGACCCAATCTCAACTCACCGTCACTATCCATGCATCTGTTCGTAACAAGGCTATTACCTTTTTTTTTTTTTTTTTTTTTTATAATCCTACAAAGTGTTCATGCAAATAATCCATCTCTGATAAACCCTGCTCTTTGTTAGCAAGCAGTGGCATCCTATAGGACAGAGTTCTGTCTCTAATAGTGGAGATATGGTATCAGAACTGCTTGCAAAATCTTATCTAGGCATGTCTCTGCACTGAGATTGTCTACAGAGATAAGAAAATTTGTTTTTCTTCTTGTGAGGGAGGTGCCAAAAAAACCAAAAGGAAAACAGATCACACTCCCTCTACCAAAAGCTGTTTGGCATTGGCAGAAAGGATATTGCAAGTTTGTTATAATTAACTGCTAAACCCACTAAAGTATTTTTCTAATTGATGTGGCCCCATTTAAGGGTCAATTAATCGGGCTTTTCAATAGTATAGGGATGTTGCAAAGGGTTGCTACACAAAAGCTGAAAAACAAAAAAATCAACTAAGCATAAATCTCTTTATTTTTTAAACCAACTTTATGTGTGTCTGTATTGTTTGTTTTCATGTACAGCTTGTGTGGATTTTAGAAAATTCATGATAAATGTAAGTTTTTGATTAAATGTACTTTACCTTAGTATCATGTAACTTTCAAATGTCAACTAGGGGGGTGAGGTTGCTTGAGGACCCCAATGCAGAGATGAGTGAAGCAGAGATAAGTTCTTGTTGGTTTAATGAAAAACTGAGGCAGACATCCAAAAATACAAAGAACCAAAAACCAGAAAACATCAGGGAAAACTCATGTGGGGAGCCAGAGACGATAAAGCCACTAACAACAACAAGGAACCAGCAAACAGTGACTGAACATGAGGTGAATAAATGAGAGACTGAACAAAGACCAGGCTAATCAGCAGATTGGGAGCAGGTGTGGACAAAGGAGTCTAGAAGGGAGTTAGGGAAAAAGAGACTGACACAAGAGGGCAAGAGAAGGCAATACCTAAGAACTCAAAAACAATCAAAATGACTAGAATAACACAAAATGGAAATGAAAGAATAAAATAGAAAACACCGAAATACATGAATCAATATATAACTGAAAACTTAAATAAGAAAACTTAAACAGAACCAAAAAATGCAGAGTCATGACATCAAATAATGCATGACTTTGCTGGTGACACTTTGCTTGTTCACATGTCAGGAAATGAACACTGCTGAGCACTACAACATCAGCACTAACGTCAGCATTACGGTCCAAGATGGAGATGACCAGTACCCACAGTTTCAACCCTGTGTCCTGCTGTTGCACTTTAAAAATTAAAATGTCTTGAGAGCTATACTGAAGAAAATGTATTTTTGTCTACACTCTGTATGTCCAAAATGACAATAACGTCTGTCTAAGTAAGAAAGTCTAAGTCTAAGGTTCTACTGGCTACATGTACACCTTCCACAGTGTTTCTTGGTCTACTTCAGTTCTTGTCTATTGCTTTTTCATAACAGTGAAGGCCTTTGCTTGTTCACTTTGCTTGTTCACATGTCAGGAAATGAACACTGCTGAGCACTACAACATTAGCACTAACGTCAGCATTACGGTCCAAGATGGAGATGACCAGTACCCACAGTTTCAACCCTGTGTCCTGCTGTTCCATGACGAGAACAGTCGAATTTGTACCAGCCCCGTCTACATGGTCAATGTCACTGAGGGAGAGGAGGTTTGCTTCTTTACCCACCTTAAAATATATCACGCCTTTTGTAATTTTTTCTCTCACACGTTTAAACATGTGACCACTTAACTCTGTCCCTTTCTCACCAAGTGATAGATGTCAGATATATCTGATTCTATCAGCAACACATGTGTAACATTTACAGGACATTCTGCTGGACTTTTCTCCGGGTCCAATTCATGCAGTGGATGGAGACAGAGCCCTCAGTTCTTCCATCAGCTATGCCATTATCTCAGGTACAGCACACAAAATATCACATCATGAGACATGTACTGTAATTGTTGCATAAAAGTAACTCTGTTTGGGCTCATGTTAGAAGATGAAGAGGGGCATTTCAGTATCAACAGAGAGAATGGTGAGTTAAGACTGACCAAGGGTGTGAAAGACAGACTCGTAACTCCAGTGCTGCGACTTCAGGTCATGGTAAGACTGGGCAGTTTTTTAAAGAATCTCCCGATGCTACATCACTCTACCATGGCTTTCCATTTGTGTCCAGGCATACCAGAACGACGACCCCAGGAAGTACTCAGTTGCGACAGTGTTGGTCCGGGTTCTGGCAGAGAACTGGTTTCATCCAGAGTTTGAGCTGCCTGAATATCACGGCTTCGTAACAGCTGGAAAGAATGCAGCCTCTCTGGTCAATACATACGGAAGCAGAGCTCTGATTTTAAAAGTCCTGGATCCAGATTTTGATCATGTAAGGATTTTAAGTATGCACAGAATGCATAGGAAGTACTCATTTCCCTTGAACCATTTGTTACAATAAAAAGACTCTTTCTACCTCATCAGAATACTTTTTGATAGACCAAAGCAGGAGGATTTAAATGACTGATAGTTCTAAATCAGTTCATATCCTTCATACAAATACAACCCTTTAACTCTTTTATCTTTATATAAACTCCAGAGCAACCAAAACTGTCTTCAAAAGTTTTTAAATACAATATAATTATGTCTGATTAGATCTTAGCATAAATACGGGCCAACGATTAAAGAAAAGAAAACTAGAATATAATATAAAAACTGTAATATAAAGCACCGAGAACACAGCACACAGGACAGGGATAAACTTCTTCAAAGGTTTCAAGGAGAGATCAATTCTAAAACAATATCAAAAACTTTAAAAATCTGTAAAGTCAAACAAGGACATCATTGATCAGAGAAACAGTGACAGGCCCCCTAAAGATGTTGGAGATGCTGCAACGAACTTCAGCTAATGTAACAGAACCCAATGAAAGGATCATTAGCCAGCAACCAATAGTCAGACTGATTATTAGTGGATGGCTGATCAGTCATTTAGGGGAAAAAGTAAACAAACAAATAAGAAAAAAAAATACATGTTCTTGTTTAATCAAAACATGTGAAAACTAATTCCAGTGAAAAAATGATGACGGCAGCATCATGAGGTGGGGATGCCTTTTTTCTACAGGTTTAAGGAAGCTAGAATTTATGCAAATTAAAGCTGCAAAAGACTTGAGTCTGGAGAAAAGGTTCGCCTTCAGGCAGGAAAAAGAGCCAAATCAAAAACAATTACACATTAGAACAGCCTTGATTTAAATGTTTTCAAAAGCAGAATTGGTTAAGAAGATTCATGTCTAGAATTGCAAATCTGTTTGAGAATACCACAAAAGCTAAATCTGCAAAATATGAAATCAGGCTGAACTCATAAAGTATAAAAGCCTTTTAGAACCTTGATTAATAGATGATAATTACTTCACTTTACTATTCTATGGTTAACCACAAAATGATTAGAGAATGAAAATGATTAGAGTTGTTAATATTTTTGCAAAACTCTATAAACTGTGTGAACTTTATTTAAAATGCTCTATTAAAGTTTTGTTCTCTTATTTTGATGACTGATGGGCTTTTCTCCTCACAGGCTTTTAATCCAATGATCCACTTTATGTTTGCTGCAACATCCAACCACACCGACATCTATCAAGTCACACGTGGAGGACTCATAATAGCAAGGACCAGTCATCTCAAGCAAAAGCAGAAGCACATCCTGGAGGTAGGACTTAAATATAATTTCCGTCTGTTGTTTTGTTCAGCTCAGTTTAAATCTCACCAACACAAAGACAACATTCATGTTTTACAAATTTAAAACACTGTTGTAGATTACAGCTGTAGACCAGGAATCTGGCGATGCTGCTTATGCTACTGTCACGGTGGAAGTGTTACCTGAAGGACAATCAAGTAAGCTCCTACAATGAAGCAACACTAACACCACTCTTGAGTGGCATGAGATAAAAAAAAAAAAGTACAGCTTTTTCTCTTTTTACACTGTAGTCCCTCACAGTCCTCCGAGAAATGAACGCCTGACAGGCTGCACTGTGGGCAAAGCACTTTTCCTCAGCATGCTGTTCATGGGAGCCCTGGGATGTATCTTGTCTTTGTTGAAGTGGCTGAAGAGGAAATATAAAGGAATGAAAGACCCACTGGAGAGAGGCTGTGTGGCCCAGTGCAAACACCCCAATGTGGTGAGATGATTTTATTTTTCTTTTGCTGGAGTTATTACATTCAATTCCACCTTGAGATAAGTACAGTTTATTTTATTAAATTGAACTGACTCTGTAACAGAATAGCTGTAGGAATAAGGAATACTTTATTTTAATGAAGGTAATGTAAGATTTACTTGCTTCTGAATCTAAGTTAACATGCATTGGAGGCTAAAATCCTTAAGGCATCTATATTTCAGACTGAAGCAGCAGCATCCTGTAAAAGGCTGATCTCTCAAAACTGATCTCTGATTAAATTTTTTAATTATCTTATTTTTTATGTTATTACATGTTTATTTTGTGTACTCCTCAAATGAAATGCCCCTGGTAGGATTAATAAAGTGGTCTAAGTCTAAGTAAGCTTCCAGTAGAACAGAAATGCTCTGCTTATTAAAAGGGACATTCAATCTGATTTCCATAGAGTGTTGTAGGCCTTCACTGTTATGAAAAAGCAATAGACAAGAACTGAAGTAGACCAAGAAACACTGTGGAAGGTGTACATGTAGCCAGTAGAACCTTAGACTTAGACTTTCTTACTTAGACAGACGTTATTGTCATTTTGGACATACAGAGTGTAGACAAAAATACATTTTCTTCAGTATAGCTCTCAAGACATTTTAATTTTTAAAGTGCAAACCTGGGCAGGTTATTGCACCTTGATAATCAGAGAGAAGAAAATTGTCTAAACAATAAGAAAATCATCAGATTTTCTAAGAACTGAAAGCCCCCATTTTCATTATGTTGACAGCTATGTTAATGCCAGCTTTTCTGTGTCGATACATCCTGAATATATGTTGTACTGTTCTCCCACAGAGTTTACATTGGTTCCAACTGGTAAGTTTCGTATTGAAGCAAATCCTTTCCTTTCCTTTCCTTTCCTTTGCTTTGCTTTACTTTACTTTCTAGTCATCAGTCAAACCTTTCACTTGCATCCTTTTTGTTCTTACACCATTGAATAACAACTTTTTACTCTTAATATTCTAAATATTTTTCGAGAATTTTGGCTATAAATAGTCAAAAAAATCCTTAAACATTGTGTATAAATAAGTTTCACTGATTGTATTTCATGAAACATGATTATTTAACCTGCATCTCATGTGTTTTCTTCATGTCTACATTTGGACCTTTACAGTTTTATGAAATTTAAGAGATTATGAGCTTAAGAAACAACTCTTGCTGATAGATATTGATTATTGGACTCAGAAAACAACATTTTCTAATGGCAGACTCTGATCAGAAAACAGAAAATGAATCAATCGGTAGCTGAAGCAGGTATGAATAGTCCCACTGACAGAAAGGAATTAAACAGAAACTGACATTCCTTCTTGCAATTCATCCTTAGGTAAATCATCATACTGCTATGCCTAACATGGAGGAACTTTCCTTTCAAAATGAGGAATATGGAACCTGCAATCCTTCCTTTAGCCTTCCAGACACACCAGTCATTAACACCACTAAGGACATTGCTGTCAGCACAGGGCCCTCTTCACCCAGACCAGCTTCTCTTACAGAGACCATCATCCCTCTTCCCACCGAAAGTGTGCAAAGCCCAGTGATACTAAACAATAGTCTTACTTCACCAAGCAAAATTTCCTGCTGCTCACCTGAATGTCCCCCAGAGATGAAGAACCTCAGCCCTAAGCATGAGGTAGATGCTGACAGGCAAGCTAAGGAAAATGCCAGCCTACCATGTGATGTTACCTCGGACCCTTCTGAAGAGAAGTCTCACACAGATTTGGAACCAGTTACCAATGACGACATCAAGCCCCCTCCTTTAAATGAACAAGATTTGCAAACAACCTCCTCCGACAACTTTGCAGAATCAGTCCCAAGCCCATCTTCTCCATCTAGGAGCGAAACGGCTTCCACAGAAACGAACAAGCCATTACCAGAAACCAATGCGGAGACAGCCTCACAGTTACCATCACCATCCCTTCTGCTCCTCAGAAAAACAGGAACACCTCCTCTCACTCTAGAGCATGATCCTTTAAAAGCTACTTTGGTGCATATAGATACTTCCCCTACTAACACTCCTCCTGAGTCCCCAGTGGGAACAGAGCAAGCCCTGGATATTGAGGTAGACCAACCGTCCACCTCCCCATGTCATGTTGAAGCATCAGAGTCAGAAGGAGTCGTAGTAAACTCTGAAAGCCCATCGCCAGAGAGGAGACCCTCAACAAACTCAGGAAATACCCTTAACAGTCATGAAGAGGATGATGAGGAGGGTTTTCTTGGTGATGATGACGTGGACAAAAACAGTGAAGGTGAGAAGCCAATTAGAGCGACTGCTTAACGTTATATCCCTTTGATATTCTCATTCATTAAGACTTACATTTATCTTATCACAGAGGCCGAGAGTGAAGATGGAGCAAGTAAAAGGAATCTGGATGGCTAAGACCTGAAAATACATCAAGCAAGATTGAAAACACTGGACTGGTACAGCTGAAGCATGGTGAAGGATCCATACATGCAAGGCCACAGTACACTAAGAAAAGACTTTAAACAACACACAATGAACCTGAGAGTACGCACAATGCTGACGCTACATACTACAGATGTTTTACAAAAACCAATGAAATTCTAATGCATTTTCACAGCAGCTATCTAAACAGACACACAATTTGTTTTTTGTTGTCATTTAATAATCTGTCTCCATGTTGGCTGTTTCTTTAGGTCATGTTTACATATTTAATATGGAGAAGTTATGAGAAGCTTTACATGTACAATTAGTGTTGCGATTAGTTAACCCACCCTGATTTAATTTGTAGCCTTGGTCCCATTATTTTCAGTCCTTTCCTTGGTTACCATCATTTCTGTCCAGGCCTGTTTTGTTAGTTAATTTTTTATTTTTTTTTATCATTCTGTAAAGGCATGACTACAAAGCAATGTCTATCTTTTAAGTGTTAATGTTCATAGATTGTTTTCATTTATTATTACTTTTGTCAGAGTCAAGTTATTAGTGGAACCAACAATTGTGTCCAGATGTGTATAACGGAATAACAGCCCATATTGTTAATTTGTTAAGATACACTGTAAAACAGCCAATAATATGGCTTCTAGATGAGGTAAAACTGGCTGGCTGAGGTTCAAGGGAGGAAGGAGGAGGATTTAAGTGACTAAATCTGGCCTGATTGATGGCATCAACAGATGGGTTGGCCTGAGTATTTTAAAAGTTTATGATCCATTCAGTTGCCAGTCCTCTGTTGGGGTTGCCCGGGTGGTGACAAAGGTTAGAGGACACTAAGCCGGCTGGTTTGAGATCATAAGGCAACAGTAACCAGACCTGAACAGAATACCAGCTCTGAACACACAGTGCGTTCTATTTGACACCAGATGGCCTACAGCAGCAGGACGCCACTCCTGTTAACTAAGACGAGGAGTCTGAGATTTTCCAACAGGCTCTATGGTCTGACAACAGATTTGAAAAATGCTACTTTGTCTAAGAACAGGGTAAGAATTTGGTTTAAAAATATGCATTTGAGTTGAGCCATCCTGAAGTCAGTTAACGTTTCATATCATAGCCACATTAATCCATCTAGTAATGGCCTCTTCTAATAGAGAGGGGTTTGTAAAAGATGATAATGAGCTCCCTGCACAATAACCTCCCCAGCCAGACAGTCTTTTAAACAGAACAACTTTGAGATGTGGTGGAAACAGATTTGCATCATGGCTGTGCAGCTAAGATCTCAATATGAACAAAAACTCTAAATGAATGTTTGCAAAATATTTCTAAATCAATGCAATGAAGAGTTCTGCAACCAAATTTTTTTGTGGGAGGGGCAGGATGGGGGCCAACCCTGTTTGAGCAGATTATACCTACTGTATATATGTACAAGCCTTACTATTTCAGAGCGATGTTTATTCAGTGAAACTTTCCTTGCATTTGGTATAAATAAAACAAAGCTATGAATGTTTTAGCTCAAGGTAAACCAGTTAATGACAATTTGCATACAGTAAGTAGAACATAATAGTGTTATGACTTTTTTCAACCTTTTTTGGTTGAAGTTTTTTTTATATTCACTCGTTATAATGAAAGTTGGTAATGTCAGTAAATCGGTAAGACTAATTGGTAAAATATTACACTCAATGTTTAATATGAATTAAAAGGGTTATCTGAATCTATTATCTTCTAACATGAAAAAGCTTTTTACAGAATACTATAGAACAGTCAATTTATTTCTAGATTTTTATTTTTTCAACAGGCATGGTTAAAAAAAGAAAAAAAAAAGTAATTTTTTTAAGACATATAAAACACCAGTGAACTTAATTTTATATTTTTTATTGAGACTTTGTTCTCAGTCGAAAAAACTTGACCTGATTGTTAGAGTGCTCCGCTTGCAGGACACTGACTTCATTCACAAGTCAACGGCCCATTGCTGCAGTGAGCCAGTAAAAAACAAAACAAATACCTGAACATCACAGAACTTAGGCAGACTTAGAAGTTATCACCAGTGGTTATAAATGTTGATAGTGACGATACATAACAAATGTGTGAGAGGAGAAAACTTTAAGGGAGCAGTCATTTTTAAGAGCTGCTTAATGAATTTTGCTTGGCACGCAAGTGAGTTAGTATATGAGCTAAACCAAATAATACTCTAACATAAAAAATACAGTAAAATCAGTCTTCAGAACAGAAGTAACATATGTACACACAATCACATGCACGCACAATAAATGATTATGAAAAAAAGAACAGAGGGGAAGCAGCTTTTATGATTCAACCAAGTGTCTCTTAAGGCTAGCATTAGATTGGATCAGCCAGGTGGACATCCTGTTGTTCTTTAGGTTCTGAGGTAAGATGGCAGAGGTGATCCAATCTAGAACCAACTGTGCCTCAAACTTAGTTTGAATCCTTCATCTTTTGCAAAAGCCTCAAATCTATGTTTAGAACATAGAGTTTGTGACATTATGGAGCAGAAAGAAAAAGTTGCAAAGTGTCACTAAAACGTTTTATTGCACTGAAGCCAAATGGTCCATGTGATTATTAGAATCTAATATGTTGTTCTGGTTCTAAGCAACCATATCACTTATGAAAACATGTTTTTTTTTAACTTGATGTACTGAAAGACATCCAAGTAGATAGATAGTAGTGTTCTCTGTTTTGGCCAAATTACACAACCCAGTGCATTTGAAACAAAAACAAAAAAAACTGCAAATCTAACAAAAATAAAAGATCCATTTCTTGCACAGGCTATAAAGAAACGGCAAAGTGTGGGAGAAAAATCAAATAGAGTCAAATAGGAAGATCAACATATTGATAAAGCTTACAGATGTAGGATGTTGTTATATGGATGATGAGACACATTCGAGAAATTAAATAAATTATTGTCCGTGGCGCAGGATTAGGTGAGCTCATCTTGTTCTACACTCTGTGGAAGGAGTCATCAGTGTGGTGAAAAAACACAAGATGAGCACACAGTCTGTCTGTGGAGGGAGCTGGGTGTTAGAACTCGTCGTGTCGAGTCAGAGCCTCCCCAAAGTCGGTGGCCTGGCTGCCAACAAACAGGTCGTACTTGTCGACGATTTCTTCCTTTGTCAGACGGCCATCCTGTGGAGGAGGTAAGAGTCAAAGTTAGCTCCCACCGTAATAAAAAGTTGACTAATTTCTATACTGTGACCAGCTTATGCGTTACATACTTTATCTGCATCGGACTCGTACACGAGATGCTTCGCTTCGGCCTCGGCATGGTCATAGTCACTGGGTAGGATCCAGTCTCTGGTCTCCTCCTTGTCCATCTTCCCATCTTTGTTTTTGTCTCTGAATTCAGTGAACTGCTCCTTCTCAGTCTTCACCCACTCAGGCTCTGTGTTGTCTCCATCCTGGTTGTACATGTCGCCTGGAACAGGAGACAACAAACCAAAGGATATTAGAGGTGATAGTAAGGCAAATACAGTATTTAAACTTCCAACATATTTCATTGTGAATAATGTCATTAACCAAGGCAAAGTTGTGCATAATTATGATATGAAAGGAAAATTCATTAAAAAAAAGTTTTCCAAAACATTTTACAAAATAAAAGTCCCAGAACTGTGATGTGCAAATTGTTTAACCCTCAGTTAATCAAAATACTACAAAGATTTAATGCATAAAAAAGTACTAATACTTTTTTTTTTTTTTTTACCTTACTTAAGTAAAAGTTTTGACTATCTATACTTAACTGGGCTAATTATTTCAAATTTTTAATAAGCATAAATGTGAGTGAAACACGTAGGATTTTGAGTCCCAATTTTTTTAACATCTTAATATAAAACAGTAATTATTATAGCCTAGATTTAATTTGTTCCCTTCTGTCCTTGATTGAATTCTCTTCTTCTACACATCAATTCAACTTTTATTTTAAAGCAGTTCAGAAACTAGTAATTTAACACTTTTACTTAAGTAAAAAGCTGAAATAAACACTTTTGTTTTGGTTGAAAAACATAAATACTGTTGACACCTCTGTTTCTCTAGTCCTACCTACTGCTTTTAATGAGGCAAAACTATCTAGCCGGATAAACCGTCATCTGTAAAAATGTTTCTGAGGCAAAGTGTAAACAGGCTTTAAGAACTCACCTATGTATTCATCCAAATCAATCAAACCATCACCATTCTTATCAATGTCTTCCATTGTTTCCTACAGAAAAAAATAGGAGATGTAAGCATGGAGAAATGTCATCAGTTTAAACCTGTATGAGAGTGAGACTCACCAACACCACAATGTCTTTCATGTGATCATATTCTTCAGGGTGAAGAAAAGCTGTGAACTCCTCCTTGTTGGCTTTCATGTCTTTATCAAGGTCGGCCATCTTGAACCTCCTTTCATCACGAGCCATCATCTGCCTGTAGCTGAAGCCGTCTTCAGGATCGGAATCATCTGTAATTTGAAAGACCCATATTTTCATTTATTTTTTTTTATTTTAAACTACTGTCCAAGTTTAGGAAAGGGAATGCTTCACTAAAACAGTTTCCATAGAAAATATCGGAAATGTTTAAACACTGTGACATTAATTACCAAGAACGTATCCATATGTGGCATTCTTGTACTCTTCCCAGGACACCATTCCATCCCCGTTGAGGTCGTGGCTCTTCCACTGTCTATCCACATCGTCATAGATCCACCTCTTCTGCGCATGCTTAATCCACCTCTTCATCTCCTCCACTGTCACAAAGCCATCTTTATCCTCATCTATGCGTTCTACCAACATGCTGCAGAAAAGTTTTTAACAACACAATTATACTTTGAAGAGTTTAAGAAGTCAAAGAAAAGAGCAAACATAACATTAAAGGAAATACGTAAAAGCATTTTCTTTAATTGCTATAGTTACTTATGACTGTTAAAACTTACTGAATGTATATAAAATAGTTCTAAGATTCTTACCCAAGCCTCTCTTTGCTTTCTTCTGGTGTGAGCTGGTCGAAGGTCTTTGCCTCATCTTGTCCCAAAAAGGCTTCGTGGTCATAGTCAAAGTTCTCGGCATCATCGTGCTCTTTGTTGCTCAGAGGGTCATCGTGGTGGATACGGTCCTTTTTTTCTGTGGGTTTACTGGTGGCGTAAACAACGCAGAGAGCGAAGCACATCAGAAGCGGTCGCAGCTCCATTCTGAGTTTGTTCAAACGCTCTCTGCAACAGATAATAAAGCAGAAGTCACAGGAAAAAAAAGGCTGCAGTCATTGTTCAGTCTGATAAAAGCATCAGCGCATCACTCTTATTTTGGTTTAAATTGTACTTTTGGAAGATAGCACACAATCTCGCTGCACTTATCTCTGCTTTTAACCCAACGCTTCAGAGGACAAGAGTATAACCAAGACTGTACCCAAATACCAAAGATATTGTTTATCTTTTTAAGTTTATACAGTCCTCATATCTTCTACGTTTAGTGCTAGGATATAGCAGGCAATATTAGATATGCAACTCAAATGAAAAATTGTCTTATGCCAACTGATCGAGTTGAGGTGACAAACTAATGAGCATGATTGATTTCTTAAAAAAAGTCAGGCAAGCAGCTTTAAAGATTATTGGAAATAATATTTTATATCAAGAAAATATAGATCGTTGAGAAGGGTCTGATCTGGCTTTGCATTAAAATGAAAAAAAAAAAAAGTTAAAGTTAAGCGAAATAAACACAGAAGGGGGGTTAGATTAGCATTTGGAAACAATATTGCCACTGGAAACAGAAAAGTGCAAAGTAAAACCAAAAACAAAGGTAAAGCTAATTAGGTTCTGCAAATCTGTCCATATATGCAAAATCATTAATAAATCGCCGGAAAACTAGTTCTAAAATCAAATAGTCTATGAATGATGGAAAGTGATGGTTCACAATTTTAAAAAAGAAAAATAACTTATTTGTAGGATAAATATCTCTGTTCTCTGTTCTGAAATAAAGTAAACATTACAATGCTGATAGAAACTGTCTGGAATCTTTCTTGAGAATTATTTCGCAAGTCTTTTTGCTTGTATTCAATGTTTCTACAGTAAAATCTAACAATTTGACAGAGTATCAACAAAACCAGAAAAGGACCTTCTATAATGCTCTGTATTTTAATTGTTGCAATTGCAGAACCTAAAACTTTAAATAAAGAAATATAAGAATCTGCCACGTTTGTAATCCAAGTTCATAAAAACAGTCAAGGCCAATATTAAGGTACAGCATTTAAAATTGGGAAATTGTTGTAATTCTATTTACATAAAAAAGACAAATCTGTAATCTAAAATAAAAATTCTTCTTACAATTTGGCTTCATTTAGTTATTTCTTTGAGATATATTAATACAAGTTAAGAGAGTGTTATTGGTGGTTAAATAACTTGATGGAAACCTTAATTCAAATCAGGCTCAGTACTGTAGAAACAAGACAAAAACAAAAACAAAATACATTGTGATTTAAATAAACAGGTGCTGTTGGTCTGACTGCTACCATGTCTGACCACTTTCACTGAGAACAAATTTAAAGCTCAGCCAGAATCTGCTTCAAGAAAAGGAAGAACTGAACTGATGTGAAACACATTTATGGTTTATAAAAATCAAACCTACCTAAAAATTATTAAACAAAGAAATAAATAAATAAAGAAAGAAAGATAGATTACTAAATTCTTCCACTGGCTCTGGTGTTTCCAATTTAGCTATTTATCTAACATACAACAGTATTGTGACTAATAAGGACAAAATATTTAGAGGAACAAATATTTTATTTACTATTCATCCACTTTTCACTTCAGACAACTACCCTCATGCAGCTAAATAATGGCACTTAGAATTTCCAAAAACTTATGCCAACAGTTAAAGTTTTAAGTTTATTAAGGTATTTTTTTACAAGCAATAATACGTACTGAAAAACAAAATCACAACGTAAAATAAAACGTTTTCCCCCCCTAGAACTCTCTTCATTGGGTCGGCTATAAAGTCATAGATTAATGTTACCACAATGTTTAAAACGTCCTTATTCGCACACAATGGGTAGTTTCTTCTGTTATTAAAAATATAGCGGATTACAACAGACCGTTATTTTCAATCCAAGCAACAATTACAACCAAATGCGTGTTTATCCAGTCTGGCTAACACAGAACATCTCCTGTTTTACCCTCAGTCTTGCTATTTCCATCCTTAAACCCGTAACAATTAATATCTGTATTATAAATCATAGCATTTTTTCCAAAATTGTTACTCCACAATTTAACTCAAAGTAATTTATTTCATCTTATTCCATAATTTAGTAGGAAAACTCACCGGTTTCCTGTCTGGGAGTTCGTCGTTAACGGTTAAGGCCCGCCCCTAGGAAACACTCCCATGCACTTCCTGTGGACAAGCGAGAGCTCGACCAATCAGGCTTCGAGAAGGCGAGTGTGATGTCGCCGTCTGATTGGTCCACTTCAGGGGAGCACTGTTGATTGGATTGGCCGAGAACCGCCACGTCCTCAAAGTCAATAACATGTAGTTCATTCATAAAGTGAAACTATTTAGAAGCTTATTTGAATAGAGAAAACTATTCCTTGATAATTAAATAATAGAAAAAGATTATTTTGTTTTATGGCCATATGCTATATACAAATTTGTCAGTTCAATAAGTAAACCTTCCAAATAAGCATTTTGGAGTCCTCTTGTGTAAAGGTTATGGTAAATTGGTATTAATCCAAAATAAAGTTATAGAATATAAAAAAGTATTCACATTGAAATAATTTCTGAGGAAGTAATCGACCAAGAAGCTGAAAGCTGTAATTTTGCATTGTTTAAATCAATGTACTGAAGTAGCATTCTTCTTTTGATGTTTTTCTTTCATTGGTCAATTGATGGTGAAAAAAAAAACAAATGACAAAATATACAACTCATTCTTAGGAAACATTGATTATAACTGACACTAAAAATGCATTTTTGGACACAATCATCTACCCTGAAGTAACCTTAATATATATACTATGCTTTCATAGGTAAAAGCAAATAGCCAAACAATATGGGAGCATCAATTTAACGTATTATATCACATGGAGTTAATGGTAGACTTGTATTGAAATAGATATCCTATTTTATATTGTACAATGAGTCAATTAATTATGGTGCAAAAGATACTTGGCGTTTCGGAAGCCTGCATTAGATGTGGGCATCAAAAGCACTGAAACTTGATCAAAACAGCAAAATGTAAATATATACCAGTACATATAAATTTAAATGAAACAAATTCAGGATTTAGCCGGTGTATTTGAGAATTTCTCTTTTAGATATTCAGCAAAAACTGTAGTTCAATGTCTTCTGCAGCTGATTTCCTTTTAGAGATCTTTAAAGTTTTTCTGTTATGCGTTAAGTGAAAAAAAGAAGGCTCAAAGTAGAGGAGGCATAAAAGTATCTTCCTCAAAAATTTGTAACAGATTTTCAATTTAAAAGAAAAACAACTTCTGTTTTGCTGTACAAGTGTATAAACATATAAACCAAGTCCTTAAATGTGCGTCCGAAGCAGATTCCTTATCCTCTCTAAGGGAGGCACAATATAAAATGTCCATCTCAGCCCATTGCAGAGTCCTCCAAATCTGTGTTGTTCCGACTTTCTTCTATCTTGTTATGTGTGTCGTCTTCCTCAGCTTGATTAGACAAACAGGTTGAGTCTTGTGTTTTGTCATCATGACCTTCTGCTAGGGAACAAAAAGGCAATCTTGACTTTTTAGCAATATTATATATTACTTATATTACTACAGGCATTACTGTGATTTATTGCTGATAGAAAAACAAATTGGTTTAAACAGCTGATGAAATAAACACTCAATATAAACTAAATTTTGCAACAGATTAGCATAAGCATTTCTTTAAGAGAGAAATCAAAGATTTTTTTAGTAACCAAAAACCAGATAATCTGCCTGACCTGTAACCACGTTACCCTCCTTTTTCTCAGTGAGGAAGATTCGCTGCATCCGCAGCTTCTTAACTGTGTTGCACATGTATTTGAGGCCAGGACTGCTGGTTGCTTTTCCTGCAGGAAAAAAAAAAAAACACAATTCCACACTCCTTTGAGCATTACTCATTTACAAAATAAATGATGGGCATTTAAATCACTTGAGCAGATTTTCACCTTTTTTTGGTTCCTCTTCAAAAAGTACACAAGTTCCCAAAGTGTCTGAAGAGAGGATAAGATGTTAAGAATATTTCACTTTACAGTATGCTTTTAAAAGATAAATGTTTGATAATACTCTGAAGATGTTTTTTTTTACATAATCTATTTTTCTAACACTTTGATAAATACAATTTTTAAAGTCTACAAATAAAGATCAAGGCAATTAAACAAAATAATAAAATCAGCTTTCATCTCAGAATTCTGACTTCCCTTCTACGCCCATTTTCTTTTTAAATATTGACCCTAACATTTTAGCTCAGACTGACCCTTCTGGAAAAAAAGAAAAGAAAAAAGAAATCTAACAAAGTGGGCTAAATTACCACTATAATCACTAAAAAGAAATCTTAAAAAAATTACCTGGGAGTGGTGAGGATTTTACAAATACATACATACATACACACACACATACATACATACATACACACACACACATATACATATATATTCTATGTTTGCTCTTACCTTCATATTCCCCTGCAAATACATACTGTCCAACTTGCATCATGGGCCTTTCACTGTCTACATCCTATATAGGATATGCAGGAAAAATAAAATTGAAATTCCGAAGTTTATAGAGTTATCCAAAATTTACTTAAATCCAAAACTGAAATGATCATAAATCATTTAATAACCAAAAGCTCACCAGTATCTTACAAGTGCTTTGACACTTGGACAGAAAGTCATTGTTGATTATTCCAGAGAGTTCCACCACAACAAGCTGCTCCTACACACAACAGAGCAAATTAATATGCTGGAATAAGGAACTTTAGTTTACAGTAAAAACAACTTTTTGTAATACATGCATACAAAATAAACCCAAGAGATCATGCAGTTTTGTAATCAAGTCTGGCTAAATTGACACTTAAGTTAGAGCATGAATCATAGCTGCAGATTTGGAGCTCCATTAAAGGGTTATTTCACAGCATTCAATAACTCTGGATAACCTTTGATTTGCTTTACCTACAGTTCAAAGATGGATGATTTCTATCAAACTCGTTGCATTTTCTTAATTTGATAAAACAAATTAAGCGTTTTAAAAGCGCCTTTGGCTTTTCACCAGCTTAACATAGGATTATGTTGAAAATCTACAATAAAAGGTCTGCAAAAATTGGCATAATTGAACAGGTTTGATCTCGTTATAAAACCTTTATTCACATTATTAATACCATGGAGATTATTTAAGAAAATGCTTTTGTAATTTGAAAAACTGGGCAAAATTTTTATTAAAAAATCTGGTTTCACCCATAAAAAGGCTAAATTGATTTTCAGAGGATGAACTGCGTTTTGCAGAGTGTCCAATGCGTCTCTAAATATCCAATTCTGGTTTAAAACATTAAATGCATTTTAAACTTCGCGCAGATTAAGTGACGTCACGTTCACTAATTAGGAAGCTACGAATCGGATAGCAACTTTAGCATCCAAATGTAAAAACATATCATAAACATTCACTGTGTAATGATAACAAACGGTCAAACACTGCTGGAGTTATGTTCAAATTACATTCGTTTATATAACGTGAACAAAATGCAACAAACAATACAATAAACTATTAAAAACATTATCCAATTTCTTTGGCTATTAGCTGCGTTAGGTTAACAACGTGACTACTATCTAAACAAAATGCGATCAGTTACTGTGATTAATACCTCTTCTTCCCATTCATCGTCCATCTTCAAACACTTGAAGTAGAGCAAAGATATAAGATTACAGATCACAAGCTATCATGAATTGTAGGATTGTATTGTGATAAGTACGGTGGCCGAGAGGAGACTGTTTTTGTAGGCGAGGAACTCCAGTGACATCTTAATCCACTAGAGGTCACTGTTGTTTCGTTTTTTTTTTGTTTTTTTTCTTCCATAAAGGTAAAATGATGAAAATAATAAACCGTGGTTTTGTACATTTCCTATTCTAATTACTTGAACCTTTTTTTTTTTGACATTTTATCGAGTTAAAGTCAACAATAATGTGCATTAGTATGATTTTGAGACATGTATGCAACCAACATGAACTTTTTTTAATTTACAGTTTTAATGGAAAATAGGAAAACAAAGTAGAATGAGGCACACACCCTCTGAGTAAATATATTTTACAATAAGGTATGGCTGAAATTCAAAATCTCACCTTCTTTTTTCACAAAATATTCCAAATTCAATCAGATTAAATGGAGACCATCTGTATAGATTGATTTTCAAGGGTTACTACATATTCTCATGAGGAGTTAAGTATGGACATTAGGGCTGGAGAATATGTGAATATTTCATCTAAACCATTTGTTGTAATTAAGTCTATATGTATGAAATTGTTGTCCTGCTTGACTCCCACAGACATATTTTGTAAACGTCTGTCTGTCTGTCTGTCTGTCTGTCTGTCTGTCTGTCTGTCTGTCTGTCTGTCTGTCTATCTATCTGTCTGTCTATCTATCTATCTATCTATCTATCTATCTATCTATCTATCTATCTATCTATCTATCTATCTATCTATCTATCTATCTATCTATCTATCTATCTATCTATCTATCTATCTATCTATCTATCTATCTATCTATCTATCTATCTATCTATCTATCTATCTATCTATCTATCTATCTATCCTGAGGTTTAATGTTAGCTGTAGGCACTTCCCTGTGCATCCAACATTATTATTAATGCCCTACTGCAGCAGGCCACAGCCGTGGAGATGAGAAGATATGAGATGAGATGAAATGAAATAAGATGATATTCCTTATTGATCCCCAAGGGGAATTTCATCCGTCAAAGGCAGAGGCAACAAAAATAAAATGAATAAAACATCAAACGCATTCAAAAATAAACAAATGAATCATAATAACAATGAAAGATAAATGATCACACAAACAGGCACTGTCTGATCAGGAAGAAAATTAAATCAGAAACAAAGTAAAAAGAGGGATAATTGTTCTTGTGAGCAAGAACAAGCCACATCTTGATGAGATATTTGAATAACATATAACATAACATATAAAATTTAGAGTTTTTACTATCAAATTAAATGCTTTTTTTTTTTCAAAATCATAGATTCTCTAACTTTATTGCACACATTCAACTTTCACATATTATTATAGAACCAGGTAATATTGGTCTGTTAGTATAATTTCACTAAGGTTGTTATTAAGAGATTCCTCTTTGTCCCTTTTCCGATGAGAAATCAGTTGCTGATAACAAATCTGGCCAGTAAAAAACTTTATTACGAAAAACAATAGACAAGAAAAGAGGCAGGTTGCTGAATTTCCATCAAACCTTCTGACGATTTCTCAATACAGAAGACATTCAATAAATATTTAAACTGACACTTCTGGATTTATTTTTCAGATATCAAAATGATTTTTCATTCACTAGCAGCAAGCTTGACATAGTGATCGAATGAACCTCCATAACGCCGTAGCTGTTTTAAACATGCTATGACAAAGTCAGCACATCAGCAGGTGCTGACACTGAGGTTTAACAAATGAAGCCTTTCTGCTCTTGCCCCTTTATGCAGCTGCAAGCTCCTCTTCTGCAATGATCTGAAAAGAGTTCAAGAACGGACTCCCCAAAATGGAGAACATTAACAATGCATTATGAAATGCCTACAGCTTTATTACAAGTATTGTTACATTACAACAACAAACACAGTTTATATATCATGTTTTCAAGGTTACGGGGACGTGGAAGAAAAAGGACAGAGGGATTTTTATATTTCTTTAATACATAAAAAACAGAAAAGTGTTGCATGCAACTGATTAGGTTAAAAAGGGAGTGAAATTGTGTTTTAATATTTTTGCTATTGAAACCACACAGAATCTCAAGCAAACTGACTGAACATGAGCCATTTAGTACAGAAGAAAGAGCATCGCTGGATTGGAAAAACTGGTAGAGACACACCCTGCAAGACTTGCAGCTGTAACTGCAGTAACAATTTGTTCTCATAGAGAACCTACAAACCTACTGTTGTTTGTTACTTTGTCACATTAAATCAGTGTGCATTTAAAATCGGACAAACTATTACAAAGTGTACTGAAAAAATGCAAGATACTGTATGTTATGGAAGAAAATATGAAGTTTATTCATGCATATTTAAGAAATAAGAGCGCACTTTGTTTGGACTTTCTGTGATACCTTAGAAATTGTACAATTATTTCTCTGCATGCAGCGGCCATCAAGGAGCCATAAAGCTTAGAAGGGATACGTTTTGTGGCCTATAAATACCTGTGTGAATGTAGCACAGGTTGATGGAGGCAGTACATTGCCTTTGAAGAGGGATAGCAGGAGAGAGAAAAAACATCTTAAATCAGAAACAGGCAAACCAAATTAAAGGGGGTACAAATCCCCCATGTGTATGCTCCCTCCCCATTTCTGCCCTATCATCTATCTCTGGACCATGGTGGGGTTGTCATGTCGACCAGCCCACAAGTTACTATGACAACGGCTCGAGGGGAAGCTCTTGCTAGTGAGGATATTGCCTCCTTGGGGAAGCAAGAAGGACAGGTGGAATGTGAGCTCAGACAAAAGGACTTACAGACACTGAGGAGGCGTTAAATGAATGAAGAGGTCAGGCTGGAGGATGTTAACAGTGAGTTTGGGTGTTAATAATTAGAGTTATCCAAACCAAGACACAGCATCAAACTCTCCAGTAGTAAAGAAGTTTCTCCCTGCTAGACACGGCCAGTGCCTCTTACTGTATATGATGTATTACACTTTCAGGTTGGTGCCATACCCCGGGGCAGTAAGGGTTGTGAGCAAGGGAGGGAGTGACATTAAGGACCCTCCAAGGTGTCAGATTGGTCCCCAGTTTCCCCCACTTTTTGTCATATAAATGTCATAAAGACAAGTTTGGAGTTGGGAAGCTTGTCGGCTCTCCTTCTCTGCCTGGGGGGTATCACAGTGGTTAATTGCCCCATTAGCACTGACAGGGTAAATTGGTGGAAGGGCTAACTATATATTTCAGTGAAAACAACAAAAACGCCTGGCATACAGCCGAGGACATGGCAGCACAGCTCGAGTTACTGCACATCCTATCCATGTTTGTGTGAAAATTATGTAAACAAACACAGCATGTTGTAGTATTAATAAAGCCAAAACTGTTTCACCTTTTGTCGCAACAGCCTCAAATTTGAATTGTATTTCTTTAGATTTTCTAAAATCGACCATCATAGACTGGTGCATTATCGTAAAGTGGTAGATAAGTGATCTATGGAAATAAAACAGATTTACTAATAATAATTAGAAAAAACATGGATTGCATCTGTGTTCAATCAAGCTCAAATCAAGCTCAGGAGACCTATAGGAGAACATTTATCAATACAGATTGAACCCCATAGGATGATACTGCCACCACCATAATTTAAATGAGGAAAATGAGATGCAAATTTAAAAAAGAAAATGCATATTTATCTTTTGCCTCATTAATTTGTTTTTTTTTTAAATACTAGAATTAAGTGAAATTTATGGCAATATGGGAAAGAGTTCAAATGATATAAATATTCCTGCCCTAATTTAGTTAAAATAATATAACAATAAATGTATAGAAAAAGGCATCATACGTGTGGCAAAAACACAAGGACAAATACTAACCAAGTGGAGGATTCAATAAAATATAAAATTGAGGAATGTTTAGTTATTTAGGCTGTTAGTGCTATACCCTCCATGTCTCTATAGTGTAAAAAATGGGGGTACATACACCATCATTTGAGTATTCCTGCACAGAAGGACAATATATTGTAATGAAATGCTGATAAACTGAATTATTAAAGCCAAATATTTTGCAAGAACAAATATCACAGCCCTTAGTCAGCCAGAAAAAACACTAACAAAAAAGATCCAAAACATAATGGTCGAATTGTATCTGATACATTTTTTCTTACTCTTTTTTAGAAAAAAGAATACATTTTTTTTTTTTTTTTTGCAAAATAGCTTATCTCACCACCAACTGACGCACCCCGCAGTCTGGACCATAACGCTGGAACTCATGCTGCCATTCATTGTCGTTGTCTTCCGTTACGAAAAATGACAAATTGTCTCCGATTTAACGGCAGCCATAACAAGAGAAAAATCCATGTTTGCCTAAAGACAACAGAGCAGACAGTGATTTATGGTTTTGATAACCTGCAGTCTTTGATACAGGCCTCTGCAAGATCATAACTTCAAATGTGGTCCAATCGTAAAATATTTATGTTTCACAGACGCACGAGACAAATCATTTTGGCGCTAAATTAATTGGGGAGAGAGGGGGACAATGATTTAAGTTTTTACACATTTATAGCAGGAAAATAAATTTTCTTTTATTGTAAAATAAGACAATATCTTAATTTCTATCATATATTCAAATAAGGTCTTGGATAGCCGTTAGTATTTTCAACCTTATGTGGATATAGGCCTATTACACATTATCTCTCATTATTTGAATATTTTTAAAGAGCATACATTTTGAACTTAAAATAAATGCAATGTTGACTATTTAAATATATGGGGGATCGACAGATTGCACATCCAGCGTGAAATCCACAATAGCATTATCATAACAATGGAACTGAGTTGTAAGGTCGGACGATCGGAGAAGGCGGATGAAAAATAACGCCCTAAAGGTCTTGTCTAAGGACAAACATTGAAATGGACACGTCATTTTTTGATTAAGGTTCTTTTTTTTTAATTATTATTATTTTTCAGGAAGATGGAAATTAAATCAGAGATACACTCTGCCCAAACAGCTGAAGTAAAATCAACAGCGCGTCCTCTTTACGCAGTTATTCTTTTATTTTTGCGTTAAATAATTTGAGATATTTTAAAAGGAATATTACTTTTGTAAA